CCCAGCGACATGTCTCGAATGTTCTTCAGAGTTTCATTCCCAAGCTCTTTTGTAAGAGCAGCTCCCCCTTCTCGCACCTGGGTCGGCGCCTCAGGGAAGCGCTTGCTGGTTAGCTCCATTTCGCAGCACGAGGGCAGGGTGCCGAGTCTGCACGTGGACCGCAGGAGGAGTTGGAGTGTCTCCTTGGGGATTGCTCTGCTAGCAGCGACATGTCTCGAATGTTCTTCAGAGTTTCATTCCCAAGCTCTTTTGTAAGAGCAGCTCCCCCTTCTCGCACCTGGGTCGGCGCCTCAGGGAAGCGCTTGCTGGTTAGCTCCATTTCGCAGCACGAGGGCAGGGTGCCGAGTCTGCACGTGGACCGCAGGAGGAGTTGGAGTGTCTCCTTGGGGATTGCTCTGCTAGGATGAGCTGAGCGGGTGTCTGCTGACGGGTGGCGTGCTCAGACCCGCTTCCCTCAGCTCCGTTTGTTGCCTGTCCCATGCAATTGTTGGTGTGTCCCAGGAGGCCCAGGACCAGCAGTGGAAGAGAGCCATGGACTACCTGAGTGCGATCTCGGAGCTGAACTACATGACCCAGATCGTGATCATGCTCTACGAGGACAACAACAAGGTGAGGGATCTTGCGCCAGAGCAGACCCTGGGCGAGGGGCTTCTGCCCACTTGGCAGGCACTGGCATCAGTGGCCTCCTGGCGGGTCAGCAGCGAGGCCCCAAAGTCTCCATGTTCTGTTCCTGAGCTGGGCTGTGGGGAGGCTCCAGGGCTGACGGGGCTCCCAAGTGAGACATTCCATGGGCCAAGAGCTCCCCCCGGCAAAGACTCTGGAGGCCAGGGATTTCGAATTGGTATTAAACAATAACGGCCCCTTCCAGACAGAGCCCGAGCCTGAGTAGCTGAATCTCTGAGCAGACCCCTGCTATCAGCTCCCCTGCCTGGGAGCATCTCGGCAGCATGGGAGGCCAGACATGAGAGCCTTGATTGGTGGTACCGTGGTGGGCTGGTAAGAGACCAAGCGCTCTTCCCTAGCCACGTGCAGCCCTGGCGTGCTAGCTTGTCTGGAACTCTTAGGGAAAGGTTCACGGAGCCCTTTGGACTCAGTGCCACCCTTGGTTGAGGGCAGTGAGCGTGGCTCTCCTGTTATTCAAAGGGGGGGCTGAGAAGCCCAGCGATGGCGTTTGGGCCTTGGATTGTGTTCATATTTTGACAACCATAAACGAATCCCTGAGCTACACAGCAGTGGTTGCCAAAGGGTGAGTGAGCACAACCTCGTTCCAGTTATCTGTCAGCAGAATATTGGCCGAACCAGGAATCTGCTTAGCTGGCCCTTGGACAGGCTAGTTTCTGAAGCTGGAAACGATCTATCGATTGGTTAGGAGGAAAACCTTAAAACACGAATGGCAATTGGGAGTTGAGTTCTTTCAGGAGATGCCCAAAAAATCCAAATTCCCCAATCCCAGGAGAACCCGCCCCCGAGCCAGAAAGGAAGAGAAAAGAGCCCTGCAGAATTCCATGTGCACACAAATGTGCACACCAGTCACTGTACGATGGGCCTGAGGCAGGAGTCACTCTGAGGTTCTCCTTCACTGGGAACTTTACACCAAGACTGGGTGCTTTCCCCAAAGATCCACTGTCGCCCAGCCAGAGGGATTCTGGGTCAGATTTCCTGACCAGGTTGTCCTGGAAGCTCTAAAGGCACAGCCCAGGAGGGTGAGGGTATGTCTACACTACCCCGCTAGTTCGAACTAGCGGGGTAATGTATGCATACCGCACTTGCTAATGAAGCCCGGGATTTGAATTTCCCGGGCTTCATTAGCATAAGCGGGGAGCCGCCATTTTTAAATCCCCGCTGCTTCGAACCCCGTGTAGCGCGGCTACACGGGGGTCGAAGCAGCGGGGATTTAAAAATGGCGGCTCCCCGCTTATGCTAATGAAGCCCGGGAAATTCAAATCCCGGGCTTCATTAGCAAGTGCGGTATGCATACATTACCCTCCTAGTTCGAACTAGGAGGGTAATGTATGCATACCGCACTTGCTAATGAAGCCCGGGATTTGAATTTCCCGGGCTTCATTAGCATAAGCGGGGAGCCGCCATTTTTAAATCCCCGCTGCTTCGAACCCCGTGTAGCGCGGCTACACGGGGGTCGAAGCAGCGGGGATTTAAAAATGGCGGCTCCCCGCTTATGCTAATGAAGCCCGGGAAATTCAAATCCCGGGCTTCATTAGCAAGTGCGGTATGCATACATTACCCTCCTAGTTCGAACTAGGAGGGTAATGTATGCATACCGCACTTGCTAATGAAGCCCGGGATTTGAATTTCCCGGGCTTCATTAGCATAAGCGGGGAGCCGCCATTTTTAAATCCCCGCTGCTTCGAACCCCGTGTAGCGCGGCTACACGGGGGTCGAAGCAGCGGGGATTTAAAAATGGCGGCTCCCCGCTTATGCTAATGAAGCCCGGGAAATTCAAATCCCGGGCTTCATTAGCAAGTGCGGTATGCATACATTACCCTCCTAGTTCGAACTAGGAGGGTAGTGTAGACATACCCTGGGAGACTCAGTCTCCACAGCATGTGGTGCATTTCGCAGGGATGGCTGGGAGTGCGTCTCTGGGGTGTTTTGCATAGCCCAGTCCTGCTGGGCCTATGGGGGTCGCACCAAGCTCTGTGCTGCTGGGTGCAACATGCAGCCTATGTCAGCGTCTGCTCTTGCGTTTCCGCCGGACTGTGTGCCGTGCTGGCCCGGAGGAGGGAGGGCTCAGGGCAGTGCACAGCTCATGCCAAAGGTGGGACTGATCTTTGTGTTCTTAGGACCCGGCTTCAGAGGAGCGTTTTCATGTGGAGCTGCATTTCAGCCCAGGCGTGAAGGGATGTGAGGAAGATGGAAGTGCCCCTGCAGGGTTTGGTTTTCGGCCTGCATCAGCAGAGGCGAGTCTCATGAGGGGCCTGTCTGTGTCACTGAGGCACAGGCCTTGGGGAATGGCCTGGAGCACCCCAACTGCTGCCCGTGAGCGCCCATGGCCCCCTTGCAGGAGGGGCTGGGACCCAGGGGACTCAGCATAGTGCTTGTGGTGTAGAGCAGCAGGCTCTAGCATTCTCCTTGGTGTGCTCGTGGCAGGGTCAGGCGCAGCTTTTGTCACGCTGACAAGCACGTACCTAGCAGCTCCCTTGCACGCAGCACTCAGCCAGCAGCAGCCCTGTCTCAGGCCTGCATTTGCAGTAGCTCCTCTGGCACTTGAGGGTCACTGCGGAATGAGCTTCCTGGCTAACTGGGCACTGTCTGTCTCAGATTTCAAGTAAGGGAGTTAAGTGTCATGGAATTGCATTGTTGCATCGACTTCGGTTAGTCGTCAGGGCGGTTCTGCCCCTTTGAAATGCCACCGCGTTGTTTCAAAGGGGCAGCGCCGCACTGAGCCCGGGATCAGCTGTGCGGCACTGCCCCTTTGAAATGCCGCTGCAGAGTTTCAAAGCAGCAGTGTTACGTGGAGCCCGGGATCAGCTGTGCAGCGCTGCCCCTTTGAAATGCCACTGAGGAGTTTCAAAGCGGCAGCGTCACGTGGAGCCCAGAATCAGCTGTGCAGCACTGCTTTGTTGAAATGCTGCCACGCAGAACCCTGGACCCCAGGCTCCATGTGGTGCTTCTGCTTTGAAGTACCTCCTCCTGCCCCCCCTTGCCGCCTCTATCTGATAGAGGCAGGAAGTGGGTGGGGAAGTGGGTAGTCTCCTAGCCTGTCAACTGTCCAATAAGCCTTTGCTTCAACTAGTCCTTAGCATCCCTAGTTCTGAGGGTGTGTGCGGGGAGATGACGGGCCCCCCAGCGCTGTTTCCAGGCCCCAGGGCAGAGTAGTTGAGGCCTCCCCACACATGCACTGCACCTGCGCAGTCTGCCTGACAGCTGGTGGTGGCCAGGAAGCTCTTCCCACACAGCCAGGGCTGCCACATACCACCCAGTGAGGTTGCCCCCCCCTTGCCCACTTTCCCCAGAGGCTGGAGGTTTGGCGGGGGGATGGGTACGGACTCTGGAAGGGACTTGGGGTTGGGGAGGTGGCTCCTGCACAACCCGGGGCAGTAGCTTCTAGGCAGGGGGGCCAGGGGTCTCCTTCTC